GCAAGATGGGTTCCCCTGACCAACGTGAACAATTTTTTTTTTTTAATAGAACTGTGTTATCAGACTCACACTGCAGACTACCTAAGGGATGCAGATCTACCTTCAGCCGGGCAAATGTATCTGCTAGTCCTAGTGTGCAGCCCAGCACACATCCTCAGTCCCCCGGGGACATGGCCCTGTGTGCCTCCCCATTACCTGTGGATACAGCCCATCACCACAGGACAGCACCCATGTGCATCGCTTCTGCGGCACAGCATGGCTCATATCTCCATGCCCATGCGTTCCAGCCTGGCATTCTTCCATAGCATTGCTGAAGATAAATGGCTTATCTACCCTAGGGTTGGGAAGGAGGGAGGGAGCCTGATTGTTTTACACACAAATGGAATGATTTGCAGAGGTGCTGAGCTCCCATTGACTTCAGCAGGGGCTGGAGGTGCTGAAAATATCAGTCCAAAAGGCTTTGCAGGAGGAGTGTGAGGCTGGCACCAAAAAACCCTGCTTTGTGGCTCTGTTTTAGAAGCTTTTTGTCACCTTCCAGGACTCTCACCTGAATCCTGCAGATAAACCGAAGCAGCGAGTTGAAGAGGGGAGGAGGGGAGCACATTACCCAACATGTAGCAAATGCGACATCTTCACACTAGGAAACGCAGCCCCCCCATCCCCTGTATGTAAACACAAACACACACACCTGCCCACCCTCCCCAAGTGCAGGCAGGATGAAACACTGCCAACACTTTCAAGTCTGATTTAACCCAGAAAGCAACAGGCATGGGCCCCAGCCCCTGTCGTGGCCTAGCCTCAGGGCTGATTCAGTGCTGCCAAACCTGCAGCTGCAGGAGGTGTCACCCCACCAGGTAGAGGGTGAAATGCTAATGGGATGTTCAGTACCCAGTAAGACACAGCATGGGCTGAGAGCTTGGTGAGGATAATTACTTGAGTCACCCTGGGGAACCAGGGTTGCCCCTTGTTAGCTCAATGTTGGCCGGAGCACACTACACATTGCCCTCTCCGCATGCTTAACAGGAAACCTCCATCTACTATTCCCCTAACTCCCAGCCCGGACATATGCTGCAGGTCTGAACGTTTTCCTTTCAGCCCTGGCTGCCCCCCGCCACCTGAATCTCCTATCCCCTGGGCTGGCAGGTGTGAGAACCTCGCATAGCAACTGTGGCGTTTGCAGCTTATATATTATCAAATGGAGCCGGGCAGTACTACCATACTTAACCTGACCAGTGTCCATGGGCCATCTCTCAATGACTCCTAGTTACAGAGCAGCAATCAAGGCAGTCTCCATAGAGGTGCTTTCACTTCAGAAGCCAACATCATCCCTAAAAATCAAAGTAAAAACGAAAAGCAACCCCCCCCCCCACACACACACACACACATCAGCCACTTCTCTTCAGTCCTCTGTTGCATAGGCCACCAGAGATCTGCCATCACAAGCCTTGCCACTAATCCAAGCAGTGGTATCCATAGGAAGACTGTATCTTTTGGGGTCGCTCTGCCCAAAAATGGAAATATTACAATCATCCCTGACTGCAGAGTAAGACAGGAATGAGAATATTGCTGGTAAATAAAAGATAGCAGCTGTCAACTAGTGCCCTGAAACAGTTTGCAGAATAAGGTACAGAATTATATACCAAAGCAAGAGGATTAAGGAATAAATAATAAAAGATAATAGTTGAGGAATTACTAGGAGTATCAGAGGGAGACAGGAAATGAGTAGGCATATGCAAAAGAGACAAGATATGGTTGGTTTTCAAATGAGATTGGAAAATCAACAAGACAAGGAGATTCAGAAGACTTGTATAGGTGCCGGGAGTTGCAGAGGGCAAGTCTCTCATACCAGACAGTGGCAAGGTTGCAGAGAGGCACAGAAAAGGAGGCTAACACCACATGTGGATGATTGTGCACTAAGGAGGAAAGAGCAGATCCCAAAAGGAAAAGCAGCCCTTTAAAAAGTTGTTAAAGGAAAGGAAACCCTGCATAGTGCAGGTGAAAGAAGTTTCACTGTTAATAGAGGGACATTTGCAGACGATCGAAACCCAAATTTGATCCCAATTTCTTTTCAGCATGTGCCAGCAATGTGAGGGTAGGAAAGCATCCAATTACTTTGATTTACAGGTGAGCTTAAGCCAATAGGTCTAGGGGCCCTATCCTGTGCCATTAAAGTCACTGAGGCTTTGGAGATCAGGTTCTAGATTTGTAAGATACACTTTACATTAAAAAATCCTATAAACACCCCCCCGCCCCAATCTTTCAAGATAGCCAAACAGGCCATCTTCCCTTATCCACCGGTTCCCACGGAAAGAGGGAGGGAGGAAGAAAGTATGTACTCCTGGCAGAAGACATCCAAGCAGGGTTGTTGTATCTCAGTAAAATACCAGCTCATTCACGCAAAACAACTGTATCTATTCCAGAGCAAAGGTACTGCAGGGAAATTGATCAAGAACTGCCAAGCTGATAGCTTAGAAAACATCTTTGTGGAGGAGAGAATAGGCAATACCAATATGCTTACATCTCGGCTTATTTACCAAAGGTCTACTGCTTTCAGAGTGGTAGCCGTGTTAGTCTGTATCAGCAAAAAGAACGAGGCGTACTTGTGGCACCTTAGAGTCTAACAAATTTATTTGGGCATAAGCTTTCATGGCCCATGAAAGCTTATGCCCAAATAAATTTGTTAGTCTCTAAGGTGCCACAAGTACTCCTCTCTTTTTTCAAAGGTCTACTGTTTACCTATTTCTGGTCTCTATTATTTATCCTGACCAATTTTAAATGGGCTTTTAAATATTTTTATCTATGCAACAAACCAAAAACAAGCCAGTTTTAAATCCTGTGAGTTTATAAGCATAAATTGTATTTTTACAGTGGGTGGATTGGAAAACAAACATCCATCAATAACTCTCAGGCATCTTTCTGATCAGAAGCAGCTGTTCCTTGAGGATTTAAAAAAAACAACAACAACCTTGTTACATTATAAACTAAATGTACTGGGCTGTACCTTGACTTCAGTAATTCACCACTTTTTTAGTGCTCCTTTTAGTTTTGGATTGAGGAAAAAGCCAGCCAACAAACACCAAAACAACCTCAAATCCATCACATCCCCTCTAAAAAAGATAAAACTTGCATGCTTTCAGAACTGCGAATTTAAGTGCCCTTCAGCATTTCTTTTGCTAACAAAGTTTAGTTTGGGGCCATTTCACTGAGTTAATATTTTCAGCCCTGATTTTGTTTATTTCCTCTCTCTGACCACAATAAAAATTCCTACAGAAATTACAGGGAGGAAGGATGGTCTTTTGGTCAAGACACATTTTGAAGCAGCAAGAAAACTGAGTTCTGTTCCTAACTGCTATTACTTTGCTGTGGGACACTTGTGCCTTGGTTCGCCTGCTCCAACCCATAGACAACACTGATGCCTGTATTCATATATTCAAAGTGAATCCCAAATTCTTGCCTCCCACACGTCCTTGTCTGTAAGACAGTCACCCACCACCTCCAATTAGCGTCTTTCTGCACTGCCCCAAACACAGGACCACTCTGGGGCAGGATGCCCCAGGGTCACTCACTTTTGCTGAGAGATACATCAGCCGTCTGAACAGGCCAGTGTTAGAAAAATGGCTTAAAGTCATCTTTACCCTACCCCAACCTGGACTCTGACTCTTGTGCTGCACCTTTTAAGGGACACAGCAAAGCATCAGCACGCTGTCCATTTAGACGGGAAGATCCTTGAGGCAAAGAGCACACCATTTTCTCAAGTACCTAGCACGCGGTGGGTGCCATATAATGAAACTTCTGCGAGTGCTGCACTACCTTCCCCCGCACTTTCCTATTCATCTCCATCTCCAAATCAACTGCCCTGACTTCTCTCCAAATTACCCAGACTCACTCCCGCTGCTAGTCATTTTTTCCCCCCTAGACACTCACTTTCCTGCTCTACTCTGAGCATTCTCTGTTCCATTCCCATCATTCTCCAGGCAATTTTCCTTTCCCGCTCCTCCTCCTCCATCTTTTCTTTTACCTTTGGCTTCCGACTGAAGAGTGGTTTATGACACCATGTACAGTATTAGCAATGGCTGCAGAAATCAGATTGCAGCATAAGACATGCTGGCTGTTGAATATGCTATAAATTGAGTCTGGTACCTAGGTGCATGCTCTTGATTGCTAGAACGGAAAAGTGTTGAGTGGAGCGATTATCTGGCAGGAGGAAGGATGGTCCAGTAGGCAGGAGTCTAGTTTAGGATTTTGGAGAGCCAGGTTCAATTCCGTGCTCTACCAGAGACTTCCTGTGTGTCCTGGGGCAGTCCCTTCGATCCAGGTCAGAACCTAGAACCATGTCTCCCATTGAACTCAATGGAAGTTAGGTGCTTCAGTACATTTGAGGATCTGACCCTTGTTCCCCATCTGTAAAATACAGATAGTATTTCACAGGGGGGTTGTCAGGATAAATATATTCAAGAGTGGGAGGTGCTCGGATACTATGGCAACAAGGGCTAGATAAGTACCTGAAATAGAATGTGAGCACTAAATGCTGAAAGGCTTTGCTTGTGCCCCTGTTGATTAACAGTATTCAAGTTTGTTTAGCCTTAAATAACAGAAATACTCACGCTACCCGTTCAGTGTTGGGCCCAGGTAGTTTTACTGCGATTTTCCTCCACCAGAGGAAGGAAGGTTCTCCCTTCTTCAGCTTTTAATTTCCCTCTTTAGTAATTTGTACACTTATGAAGTAATTACTGCCCCTCTGACAGAATATATGATCTAGTTGAGGGCCTTCTGTGGCCTGCACTATTTATTATAGTGTGCCAAGATAGGTATCTCATCAATTCTATATAGCAAAAAAAATTAGGGTTGGGTTGTTGTTTTTTTTTAAAAAGAGAGATTAAACTCTAAGGCAGGGCCACTACTCAACCACTTACTTTCCCTGTGGAAGGAAATCTGACACCAATACACAACTAAGAGGACAAAATAGGGAGTTAAGTTACCAGCAACAGGGAAGACTACACTTTTTTTTTTTTTTGGTAATGCAAACAAGTTTATTGGGCATATTCATCCTCTACATGCTATTTTCCCTGCTGAAGTGCTACAATCCCCTTCTTCAAGGGGGGTGGGGGGAAGAGACAGGAAGAGTTCCAAACACAAAAGCTAATGGAAATAGCCAGAATGCTGTATGCAGCGTTTCCAGAGCCTAGAGGAGGTGGAAGGGTGGCAAGTAGGTAGCTGGACTAAACTGCTTACTAAATATTCGGCCAAGTGGAAGATTGCAACAGATGTGGAGCAGCTAGACAGCTCTGCATGATAGTCAATAGCCATTTAGTTCAGGAAATGCCAGTTAGAAGTCAGACTCTTACATGCAACAGATCACTGATGGGATCACTCACTATGCAAAGCATTAGGGACAGGCAGGGGCTGAAGATGCTAAAGGCTCTTTTCGCAAAACTGAATCTAGGCTCATGCATTTGTTCCACATTATATTTTAAAACCTTAAAGCAATCTCTAGCCCCTTGAGCATTATCACAATCCAAAGAAATGAACCTTTCCCTTGGATGGAATCCAATGCAGAATAGCAATTAAGAAAAAAAAATACAAAAAAACCCAGGAAAAATACAGGATTTTAAATAAACAACATCTTAGAATTTCTTGACTGCAGCATCAATATCTGGAATGATCTCCTTCAAGTGGTTCCACTGCTCGGCAGATAGGGCAATCCCTAGAAACGCAAAGGAGAAGGATTACAGAGACATGCCTGCAGAGCAGAATCAGCAAGTTCCACAGCCAAGGTGGCTCCATAAGGGCAGTTATAGAAGGGAAATTTATGATCTGAATCTGATCCCAGAACAGAAACTGAGGCAGCCTTTTAAGTAAAGCGTCTCCATGTTAACACTGTAGCAAATATGAAATGTGTGCTTCTGTGGTCCTCCTCTAGTACTATAGAAACATGGAAAGCTTTAATGCTCCTTGAGATGGTAGCCCACATTTTACAGATGGGGGAAAGAAGTAAAGAGGAGGAAACTGCTAAATGGCCCAAGGTCATAGCAAAGCTGTAAATAAACCCTAGGAGCCTTTAATCCCAGTCCCTGTCCGGCAATTAGAGTACCATCCTTTGTGTTGGCCAAATGGGTAATGCAAACTCCCATCCCAGCAACTGTAATTTCAACTACAAAATCTACCACTAACAACATTCACTGTGATGGCTTAAGCTCAGAGGAATTGGCTTGTTTTTAGCTCCTTAGGAGCTAAAATCACCCACAGAGATAAAGCCAACTTGATATAATTGGCCTTTTCCATGGAAAAGAAACATGGTAGTGGGCATGCCACCTTGGTTCCACCCGGATGCTGTCCACTTGTTTCCTGAGCAAAACCAAAAGTAACATGTCCTGACACTTAGTCACACATTTTATTAAGTTTTAGACAAACATCAGTGGCTAGAGACACTACATCAAAACAGAAGAGACAGCATTCATGTGAACATTCCTCTACAGACCCAAGTTCTAAGTAGCAGATGAACAGATCTTCTGTCTTGTATTCTGGGCAAGTTTCCTACATGTGCCAAAAGAGTTTAATCCCCCTTCTGTCTCCCACTCCCCCTAGGCTGGCACAGAAAGGTTTCAGGGATCTGTTCCTGCCTTTCATTATAGGATAAGCTGTTTGCTTTAAGTGAGTAATGTACAGTGGTAACTTCTTTGAAGGAAATTAATTTCTGGAGGGTAAACCATGCTTAGTGTTCAAGGGGCAAATCAAGCTGAAAGAAATTCATCTGCACAGACACAAAATCAATAACGAGAACTGAACGGTTCCTGGGAAATTTCATGTAACTGAATCTCTGCTGAATACCCCAACACACAGGGCAGAAGAGGGGAATGACTTACAGACGTGGCCTGGGAACTTAGAGTCAAGTGAGTCAACTAAGCAAATCACTGTCAGCCGGAAAGCTGTAATGTAAAGGGCCATGAATGAACGTTAACTCAGTAGTGGGAGAGAAGTTCTGGAGTGAATGATGCCCCTGTTCCACAGCAGCCTTTACATTACTTTCTGTGCTGTTTTCCCAGTCAGACAATGTTATTCCAAGGACCGCATGGCTCTTTAATAAAGGGTCACCCAAACTCTGTTCCACTGAGGGTCGCACTGGGCAAATTGCCAGGAGCCTCAGGTATGCACCTTACGTTTCACACTGCAATCATCCTTGCTTTAATATGGAGGTATAGCTGGAGGGATTATGAAATTCCAGTTTCCGTTCAGATTGAGATGGAATATCATATTTTGGGATCGTGCAGTCCCTGCTGACTGCACTTCCATGGTTAAAAGATTAGGGTGAATGCACAGTACACTGTACAACCCCCGAGTTCTAACAGGCCCACGTGCCAATATATGCTCCTTCAATATATATTTAGTTTTGTCTGTCAACAGCCGGACGCTGGATAGTGGTGTGAGAGTTACAATTTTCTACTTTCCTTTGGCCTGTCTAATTTTACATACTCAATTGCCCCCCGCAGAGGTGCTGTTTATAAGAGAAATAGTTGGAGGGGAGAAAAAGAGAGCAGGAAGGGTGAAGTTTGGTCAAATTAAGGTACTACATTCCTGCACTATCAGAATAACCCCATCTTCGATCATGTTCCATCTCCTGCCTTTTATCCGATATTCAGCTTACCTACTGTTCATGTCCTTCCTCAGCTGAAGTCCCCCTTCAGAAACAGGCAGGGAGCCAAGCTTCATAGATTAAGGTCACTGTGCTGGTTGCTCTTTCATTAATAGCCCATCATGGGGCCGTGCTGCTCACTTCCCAGCATCAGATGGCAGTGGGAATATTGGAGACTTTCAGAAGATGCTGAAGTCAGTCATTTAAGAATAATGTAAAGTTTCCAACTCCTGGATACAAGACTGCCCTAGACTCATTCATGATTTTAATTGTATTGGAAATGAGATGAATATGATGCATTACTGCCACCTAGTGGAGATGTCTGGTTACCTTTTCTCCCAGGTTTAGTGTCCCCTTCCTTATCTATGTAGAATTCTCGGATATCCACAAGGACTTTCCCCTTAAAGCAGGACACTCGGACATAGCGCATCTTCCCAATCTGCAAAGATATTAAACCACAGTTAAAGAAAGGTCTGGATTTGAGTTGAGGAACGCTGCAACCAGCTTCATATACATATATTTAGCTACCGTCCATATTACTTCCATCTCATTACTTAAAACTCCATTGTATTTAACTGGAGCGAGAAAGGACACGCCAATGCAAGAAACCAGGAAAGAATTCTGATTTGGCTAGGAAATTAACGAATAGAAATGTGTGTGTATGTGGCAGGGGGATTTGAAGGATGTGACAGAGGTAGATTTGTTTGTAATACCTGATCCTCTCCCCTCCCACCAATACCTGGAACATGCCCTCCTCTTCACTGTCTTGCCCTTGACTTTTCGTTGCCACCTTGGAAGTTTTGGCCTCAGTTTTTGGTCTTTTCTCTGGCTTGGACGGCATCTCTTTTTTTCTTTTCTGTAAAGAAGAGGTCACAATTAGACAGCTCCCCACCCTCTTGTGATTAGTCTAGTTCTCAAGCCTATGCAGCTTCTAGATCGTTCAAATGATGGGACTTACACACATTTCATGAGATGGGATCTCATGATAAGTCACTCACAACCCCTTCAGCAAGACATACTAACTGCAATAATACTAACACGGCACTCTACTGTTAACTACACTAGCAACCAGCAGTACTTGAGCTAAACCTGTCTACAACCTCTGAAAACTAGACTGCAGCCAGTAGAGCGGGACCAAACTATTAATAATTACATTAAAAACTACACTAAAGGAACATCCAGGCTGTAAAGTCAAGCCCTGAAAAGTTAAGAAGTGCTAGAAATAAAGTTGTTTGTGTGACCTTCACTTGCTGCATTATGCTACAGGCTTTACAAGGCTGAAAGCCATTCAGATCTAGAAAGCAAGGTGGGAAATTACTCTTCCCTTCACCTGCTAAAAGAACAGGAGTACTTGGGGCACTTTATTAGAGCATAAGCTTTCGTGGGCTACAGCCCACTTCTTCGGATGCATATAGAATGGAACATCTATATCACCTGCTGTGACTTTTCAAGTAACATTTAAAAAACCCCAAAGCTTCTTCTGCTCTGCATGGATGCAAAAGATTGATCCCATGGCATTTGTAAGCATAGGGTTTGCCTCAGTGCCAAGGAGCACCCTAACTTGCACAGTGGCATGACATGGGAAGGACACTTAGTTGCCGACTTTCACCCCAGAGCTTGCTCATGACAATGATGCCCACTAAGTGAGCACGCTGGAATTCAGGTTATTGTTTGCATGACCTCAGAGGATTAACTGAAGCACCTAGAACATTGCTACTTTTTCCCCACTGGAGGGACGTATGTATAGGAGGGGAATACCTGATGTGTGGGAGCAAAGTCAGTCTCATTCCCCAGCTACTGTATACCAATACCTTTTCATTCTCAGCATCAGATCCACTGTCTGAAGTGGTTGTTTCCACAAGCTCCTTGGACTTGGGCATTCTGGAAGACAAACACCCAAGAAGCAGGCTGAACCCTTCACCTTCAATCCCACTTTCAACATTTATAGCAAAATAACCCCCTCCTCATGGTACAGATTTTTAGCTGCTGGCACAGGTAGCTTGCTCCTCCCTCTGACAGCAGAGTCACTAGGCTTAACTTCATGTGGAGTAAATGACACAGAATCATAACAATGGGATCCCTGCTCCAGTTCCAGTCATCTAAATGGGCAATTCAGTCTTCAGCAGTTGTCTCGGAACAACGATTAAATCAGATGTCCTGTTCTAAAGCCACATAACATGGAAGTTGGGCAAGAAAAAGAGGGATAAGAAAATACAACACTCCTTAGATCTCCCCAAGATTTCAGCATCTCTCAAATATTTCTAAGGTGCCCATCACTGCAACAGTCACCTACTCTGAGACGCAGAGTAAGAACTCCGCAGTCATTGCTGTGGGCAAGGAATAGTTCAAGGGATTTTTGCCCAGGCTCCATACCACAAGGAGGCTTGAACTGAGGCTAGCTGGGGTGAAAGAAACTTTGGTGGCTCTGTGCTAATGGACACCCATTACAGAACCAGACAGAAGGAAGTGGGGAAAGGAAAGAAAACGAGGGAGGGGGGTTGGAAAACTCCACGTGCTGTGGACAAGCCATGGGGAACTGGCAGTCTGAGATCCCCAAGCCCAAATCGGATCCAATAAGTAGGAGGATGAGCAGGGGGGTTTCCATGGGGAGGGGAGTATTAAAGCAGGTCCCCAAAGCTGCTCTTTGAGGGGGGTGAACACTGTCTCCAAAGCTGTGAGCAGCAGACACGAAATGGTCGCTTCAGCGTAGAAGGTGGATGGGACGAGTGTGGGAGCGCCCCCAGAAAGGAGAGGGGCAGCAGGAGGAGAAGGTGGGGATTGAAAACTCTGCTGCCCTTCAGCAAGCCTTGCCCATCCTTCCAAAGGGAGCGAGAGCAGGATCCGAAGAGGCCAGGGGTCCCCAGAAGGGACCATGCTAGCACTGGGAGGGGATCCCTGTATGAGGGGTAGGGCACACAGCCCCTTCTTACAGCAATGCCTAGAGATCCCCAGGAACCTGGGGCATGACAGGCAGCAACTCCAGGGATTGGGAG